CCCCCCCCCCCCCCCCCCCCCAAAAAAAAAACGAAAGAACTGCCTAAGAGTGGTGCAATCTATTAGGCGACCATTTGACAAGTCGAAATCACTCAGATACACGTACGCACAAAATTAAACGCCAATATGAATAAGTTTTCCAAAAGGTTGCACAGATATCCGCTTTTCCCAATAAAACAGAGAGATTCGTGCATAATTTGTCGGATAGGCAGCTATCTCGTATAGAAACGGAAGCTTTATCAATGGGATGGAAGTTTTGTTGCCCCCCGAAGACAGTTAACCGAATAGATTTGGAGGTGCAATTCGAAAGCCTGATGGGTCAAACAAGAGATTTGATACCTAATTCAGACGAGGACTTGGAAAGGTTTAAAANGTTTAAAAGTGTTCTGGTGACAAGTTGCTATAAATACCGAAAGGTTCACGTACACAACCGCGGACCGCTTACACGTCAGCATATAAACGCTTTGAGGGAACTCAGAAAGAACAAAGACATCATACTGCTCAAACCAGATAAAGGCACCGGCGTGGTTATTATGAACACAAATGATTATGTTCAAAAGCTCTCTGAAATAATTTTGGACGACAGAAAGTTCTCTAGATGTAGCAAAGGAAAGGATGAGGCAGAGAAAGTGGAGGGTGAAATCACAGATCTACTGAAGGTGTTAAAGTTACAGGGGCACATAGACAATGCTGCGTACGAGAGACTGAAACCATGTGGGACCACCATCCCTCGACTGTATGGTCTCCCGAAGATCCATAAAGAAGGAGTTCCAGTAAGACCTATTATGGCAATGATAAATTCACCATATCATGCAACAGCGCAGTGGTTGGTCGAATTATTAGAACCCATTCGTCGTAGACTCGCCACACACAGTCTCCGAGACAGTTTCCAGTTTGTAGGCAAAATAAAAGACCTGCATCTGCAAGAAAAGATGATGTTTTCCTTGGATGTGGTTTCATTGTTCACTAATGTACCCTTGCTGGAGACAGTTGAATTCATTTGTGATCAAATAAAAGCATTGAATGTGGAAGTTGGTATTCCGGTTACCAATCTAAAAGAACTGCTATTACGCTGCACACGTAACGTCCAGTTTTTATTTAACGGTAATATCTATCGTCAAATAGACGGGGTTGCTATGGGATCGCCACTGGGTCCGTTGCTAGCTGACATCTTCGTGGCTAAACTAGAAAGGAGCACGCTGAGTCAAGCTATTGGAGGATTAGCTCATTATAGCAGATATATGGATGATATCTTCTGTGTGACCAATCGTGAACATAACATCCAACAGATTTTGAAATTGTTTAATGAAGCACATCCCTCACTGGAGTTCACTGTAGAGGTTGAAGCGAACAACAACTTGGCCTTTTTGGATGTAGCCGTGTCCAGAAAAGAAGATGGATCAGTCAGAAGACAGATTCACAGAAAGAAGATATGGAATGGCCAATATACTAACTTCTATAGTTTCGTTCCAGTGAAATATAAACGCAATCTAGTTCGTTGTT